GGAGGTTGCGCGGGCCGCGGCGGCGGGGGGCCGGCAGGGGGCGCCGCTGTGGCCGGGATGGAATGTCACGTTTCCACGTGGGGAGCGGAGCTGCAGGGCCCGCCCGCCCGGCGGGGTTAAACCCGCTCCTCGTCCCTCCCCCCCTGCCGCTGGAGCCCTCTCCTGCCGCGCCTGGGGCTGCCCCCGGGACAGGGGTGCAGCTCCCAGCCCCCACCGGGCCCAGCAGCAAATTAAATGTTCGTTGTCGTTATTGTTCCTTCCTCACGGACAGCCCTAAAGCCCCAAGCTTCTGGGGGCTGTTGCTGAGCTGCCCTTAAAATACCCCACGGGCTGCTGGAAGGCGAGAGGTAAGACTAGGCTAGTGCAGCCCCTACCGTCCCTCCGCACTCATGGCTGGTTTGCAATGCGAGCTGTAGTCGTGGGGGTCAGAAAATCAAGCTGTGGAGCCCTACATCGCTCTCCATCCTTCCTCCCCACGGCATGTCTTTTCCTTCCCTCCAGTCGTGCATTATCATGTGCTGTGTTTCACGACCCATCCCTTACCTCAGTTTCGTAGCCTTGACACTTCTGCATGGCTCCTGGCTTCTAAAAGGGTACGTCTAGACTACCGCGTTTTGTCGACGGAAGTTTTGTCGACAGATACTGTCGACAAAACTTCCGTCGACAAAGAGCGTCCAGACACATTGAGTTCTGTCGACAAAGCAAGCTGCTTTGTCGACAGAACTCCATAGTCTGGACGCAACGTTACAGGCAATAACACCTTCTGTCGACAGAGTTCTGTCGACAGAAGGTGTTATGCCTCGTAAAATGAGGTTTACCAGCGTCGACAAAACTGCTGAGTTCTGTCAACGTTATGTCGACAGAACTCAGCGGTAGTGTAGACGCTGGTATAGTTTTGTCGACAAAAGTCCACTTTTGTCGACAAAACTATGTAGTCTAGACACACCCAAAATGTCCTAGCAACTTCCCCGAGCCCAAGACATGGGATAGGTGTCAGATCCTTAACAGCCCTTTCTGTGTTCCCCCTCTCCTCATAATCTTTCAACTCCTTTAAGATCTCATCCTTCCCTAACTCCCCCCCTCCACATGAAACAGCCTTCTGTCTTAGCCCCCTGACTACATGTTCCATGCTAGGGGCTCACACTTTGCCAGATTCTCATTGGTTCTATTCCAGTCTTGAAATCCCCCAGGCTTTCCCAAGGTTTTCTTGTATTTATCAAATAGTCTAGTTTTCCCAGCACAAGTTAAAAACTCAAGATGTACAGTAAGCAAAGGTGCAGGGGACCTTTCTGTACTGGGAAGAGTGAAAGGATAAAGGTGAATTTTATTGAATATAAAAATCTGTTTTGGTTCAGAATTTGGGTTCAAGGTAAGCTGATAACCTCAAATCTAAAGGAAAGGCACATTTGATATTTCTGTTAAGCCATTTCATACTCTTGTCAAAGTTTCTTTGGGTAGACAACTCCTCCCTACCCCAAATTCATTTCATGTGCAGATGCTGTTCATTTGGTTACACTATAAAATGAAGAAAAATCTATAGTCAAACCTTTGTGCAGCTGCAAAAATCGGATGGTTTCTGGGATCCACAACTCAAATGCAGAGGACTTGAAAATGCTGACCAGTTTAGTTGTTAACATGAGGCTGCTATGATAACAAACCTCATCTATTTCTGGTTAGAAATCACTCAAGTAGCTGTTCCCCTGCAAAAACATATCTCCTTTAGTTGTCCAATAAAAGTAATTGTCTTTGAATGTTATATTGACAGCTAAACCTGGCTAATAATGAGTAATTTTATTAAGTTCAAATAAAATTATTCTGTACACATGGGGATATATGTCCTATGCCTAACATATAAGGTTGCAAAGAAGACTTGCTTTTTGTCTTACCAGAATTGCTAAGAACTAAGGTTCCTAGATTATAATAGTTAATAAAATAGTTATGTAAAAGATAAAAATAACACTTGATTCTACAAAGGAGGAATAGTCCTTTTGTTACAGATTAGGTATACTGTAATTTATCCTATCTCTGTAGTAATGCCTATGGCAAACTCCTTAATGACAGTAGTTAGCAGGTGGCCTGATAGTGATTCATAAATATTTTTTGTTTGTTTTATTTAAAAAAAAAAAAAAACCTTGAAAATCTAGATGTCTCAAAATTGCCTAGTCAGCCAATATATGCAATCATGTGTTCTTGTTAGTCTCACCTGTCTCACCCCTTGCCTTTTTGTTACATTTTCCCCACATTTAAGACCTTAGATGTGCATGGTGTTATCTAATGGGACAACCTCCATGATTATAGCTACTTATGTGTTTCTAAGCCTGGCTTTCTAGACAAGAGGGGGCAAACTTTTTGGCCTGAACGCCATATCTCAGTATGGAAACAGTATAGAGGGTTGGCCGGAGTAAGCGTGTGAGGCACACGGGGCGGGAGGGTGAGGGCTGTGGCTGGGGTGCAGACTCTGGGGTAGGGCTGGGGATGAGAGATTTGGGGTACAGGAGGATACTCCAGGCTAGGATGGAGGTATTTGGGGGGGGGGAGAGTGGATCAGGGCTCAGGAAGCGATTTGGGCCACACAAGGGGTGCTCAGGGTGCAGGAGGCAGGCAGTGCTTACTAGGGATGTAATAGTATAGTTGATTAACTGAAAAGCAAAAGCTGATTGGTTAATACTATAGCCTACATGCATTTCCTCCCTACCTAGTAAATTTTTTTAGCATGCTGGCCAGCAGCCCAGCTCAGTCCCGGCTTGCACTGGGTCCTGGGCCTAACCCCACCGCGGCTCTGCATTTAAAGTAGCCCAGCTTAGTTCTGACTTGTGCTGGATCTGGGCGCTCAGACCACCCCACACTCCGGAAAGGGGCTGCCTGGGGACTATAGAATAGTCAACTAACTGATAAGAATTCATGAGGTTAATCAACTATTCAATTAACTAATATTTAACATCCCTAGTGCATACCTGAAGCAGTTCCTGGAAGCAGCTGCCTGTCCCCCCGCCGCCCGCCCCCGGCTCCCACACAGAGGCGGGGCCACAGAGCTCTGTGCACTGATGCCCTGTCCTCAGGCACTGGCTCCTAGCTGCCTTTGGCTGTTGTTCCTGGCTAATAGGAGTTGCAGTGCTGGTGATTGGGGCCGGGGTAGCATACAAAGCCCCCTGGCTGTCCCTGCTCCTGGGAGCCCTTGCAGAGCTACTGGGGAACGGAGCGAGGCAAACTCTCAACCCTGCTCCCTGGTGGGAGTTCAAGGGCAGGATTAAAAGGTCCGATGGGCTGCTTGTGGCCAGCGGGCCACAGGTGACCCTTCCCTACTCTAGATGGTAAATGCTTTGTGGTACAAGCTGTTTTATTAATTTTATACTTGAAATTGCCTAGGTCTCAATTATGATCAGGCTTCTGAATGATTTTGCATTGAATACTATTTGTTTGGTTTTAATTCTTCAGGTTTTTAAGAGGGAAAACAAGAGAGACCCAAAATCAAGAAGTCCAGAATGACCGGCAATCTGTGTAAAAGAGTTGCCTGGAGTGACCGTGAGTATCTTAAGAAGTAGATCTACTTTGCATGTATTCTACGATGATTTACAGTACAAAGCACTTGATGTGCATGTTATGATTGGCTATTATTAGTACACGGTCCCAATGTATAGGGTGAAGTTTCTTATAGATTTGAAGGATTGCTTACTGGCATACTGGATGTAGCCTTCCCAACACTTTTGTTTTGAAAAAAAAAAAAAAAAAGCAATTTTTGGTGATTAAATCCAATTTAGTGGAGTGAATGTGCATGGAGGAGGAAGAGGGATATGGTAGCTGGGAAACATATGGAATTGAAGGTGACTTTCCATAGTTAAACACACGTTTCTGTGGAATGAGAAAAAGGTAGAGAGATAAGTATAAAAATGCTTGGGAAGAGGACTGGTGAGAGAAGTGATGGTGGAAGAGAATAAACAATTTTTTGGTAAATCTCAACACTGTTTTTTTTCCTTTTCTCTCTTTATAGAGGTTACCTTTGATATGAAATATGAAAGAGAACAAGAAAAGTCTGATTCTGACGTTGCCCACAAAGGGAAGTCAAAAGAAAAGGAAAAGCGACTGAAAAACACATTGTGGAACTTGGATGTACAGCCTCTCATCTCATCCAATAAATGGCTTCAGCTTCATGGACTCAAGAGAAATAAACTGTCCCTCTCTCAGATTTTATCTCAAATTGGATTTCAGCACAGGGAAGGTATGAGGGAAACCAATGGTAAAAACTAAATCTTGATTTGGAATAGTCCAGACTTCCATGGATTTTTTTTTTAGCAACACAGTATATGTTGTGGAGCCTTTAACATTGTTTCTTTTCTTGGTACTATCTTAGAAAAGAGATAGGAAAGTCACATTATGCTTCTTAACTGTAGCTTGGAAACATATCACATGTGGCTTCTCATCTCTGGAGCAGAGAAAAAGGGTGTTCTCTTTAATCAGCACCATCATTTTTCTCACTTTAATCTTGATCCCAATCTAGCTACATTTGTGAAATAACTTTAGATACAGAATGTTCCAGAATCAGAACACACACAACCTTTTCCCTAGCACCTGAAAATGTAACTGCCATAAGGACCTTATCCTTTGTGGACTGAAAATGCAAAGATTCTCCTGAGCTCCATGCCATAAACTATTATTGTCCTTCCAGTTGACCTGTGTGCATGGATTGTCGGAGAGTTTTCCCTTAGTGGTATCCATCAGGCCAGCAGGGGAGCCCGCTGGAGTGGTGCTGGTATATAGGTGCATATATATCCCCACTTGCCCTCCATCCCCCTCAGTTCCTTCTTGCCAGAATGCTCTGACGCTGGGGAGGTGGGTGGGATGTGGATTGGACGTGAGCAACACAACTTGAAGAACACTTATGAAAGTAAGTAAACATTTTTTCCCAGTTGTGCAGCAGTTGGAGGAGAGAGTTTGTGAGAGAGCATGATTATAAATCATTTACATAATAATGCTTTGCAATGCACAATAAGGC